CCTCACTCGCACGAAGCAGGACCTCACCTTGACAAGGAATTCAGGGGTGTACAGGTGGCCAGGGGGTTGTTTGCCCCAACGTATGGAACCTCGCTAGAAATGCAGTCACTGCAGAAACCTGATTTACCAAAGCTCTTCCTAAGACAGTGCTATACAATTAAAATACGTTTTTGCTTACATACCCCTGAAAATGTTTGGGGGCTATGTGCCCTCCCATACTATTTTATGTTGACATCTAAAATCTTCACCATGGGGGCCCTTGGGTTGGTTAGTGTCCGACTCTTGGTTTCAGCTCAGGTCGTGATCTCGTGGTTCATGAGTTCAACGCCCCCACTGGGCTCTGCACTACCAGTGTGGATCGTGCTTGGGATCATCTCTCCCTCTTTCTCTCTCTGCCTTCCCCCCTCTACCATGCATGCTCTCTCTCTCTCTCTCTCTCTCTCAAAATAAATGAATAAACTTTAAAATAAAATATTTAAAAACCTTCACCATAAATTAGGTAGTTATGAAAATGTATCTTCTAGCTTACTGTAGACATTGCATATTACCATAGTGTAAATATTAAAAATAAACTATTGGCTCACTCTTTTGAAGATGTCCGGGAAATACCACAGGGATGTGATATCCCCCATCACCTACTTAAGAAGCAGATGGATACCCTCTTCGTTAATAGTAACAATTTTATGTTTTTTCTTTTTTCTCCTCTTTGAAATCATCTTTTCTTGCCTTTTCTCCCAAAGGATCTTATACTAATAATTTTTTTCAGCCTGAAAGAGTCAATCATGGTCATACTTTAATAATATGCTAATAAGTGCAAATTTAAAAGTTTAAACAAGTTCCCATGACTATAAATCTCACTTTAAGTGTTCAAAATTTTCTTCCGGACCACTGGTCATCACAAGTATTCCTGGCGCGTAAGTGGTAAAAATCGCATAAACGGAATGCACATATTCATAAGCAATTACTGGACATAAGTTCCTGGACGCACTTTGGAAGTGCACCTTTTGAGGAGATGGATTTGGCTTTGGCAGGCGGGAGAGTGGGTGCCTTTACAGAATGCAGTTCAGCCCCCGACACCTCCATTTGGTAAGATTCTCTCTCAGGGGGGAGGCTTTCACGGTGGGGACAAGGCACAGGGATGACAACTGTTTGAAGAGGGGCGGTGTGGCCCAGGACAGCCCAGGAGGAACCACAGGGCAGCCGGGCCTCCTACAACCACACTTGAGGAAAGAGGTGAGCGTGAGATTGGGGATCTGAACAACGAGGCCGTTATAACGGTCTGTGCCCACATGCTTGTCACAAGTCTAAGGAACCTGGCTGTGGAGGGGGGGGGGGACCGTGCTCTACCCCACCAGGTTGCTGACTTTTCTGCCCCTCACCCCTAGAGTTTTGGCCTCTCCTTTATTTTTTTTTAATTTTTATTAAACAAAAAATTTTTTTTACTCTTTGTTTTTGAGAGAGAGACAGACAGAGTGCAAGTAGGGGAGGGCAGAGAGAGAGGGAGACACGGAATCCAAAGCAGGCTCCAGGCTCTGAGCTGTCGGCACAGGGCCTGAAGCGGGGCTTGAACTCACAAACCCCGAGATCATGACCTGAGCCGAAGTCGGACGTTCAACTGACTGAGCCACCCAGGTGCCCCTCAGCCTCTCCTTTAAATGGGAGCTGAGCAAGTCCTCTGAAGTAGAGTGGGGTGCCAAATCCAGGGGGCCTGCCCTGAGCCTTGGTCTTACCCTGACGTCATTTCAGGTCCACTGAGGACTTTACAGACAAATCCCACTGCGCCTCAACGTCGCCTCTGGGTTTCCACGCTTGACCCATGCCTTCAAACTTCAGGTGCAAAACATATGTTATGTGAAAATAAATTTTACTCCAAAAATTTCACCCGGCGTTTACATTTTTTTTTTTCCCAAGAAGAAAACCAACAACACATAGGAATGTCTGTAAAAAGAACAAGGAAGGAGGAGGAAGAATGCGTGAAGGATGCTCTCAGGTGAGTCTGAAAATGGCATTAGGGAACTTAAGTAATTGTGCAAACCACCACCATGAGGGAGGGTTCATTCCCTATTTACTTACATTAGTGTTTCAAGTGCAGAAAAGCCTACAGGTAACAAATGGCAAATAATCCCCCTCCCGAAGAATTCCCGTTGACCTTAAAAAAGTAATACACGTGCATGGCCAGAAAATTCAAACCGTAGGTAAAAAATTCAAACCGTAGGTAAAACCGTACCTTTGATCCTTCCTCAAAGGTAACTACTGTTCAGCGTTTCCCAGGCGCCCTTCTCCCCAAAAACATATCTGCATTTGTCCATTTTTCTTCCCTTCCTTCTCTTCTTCAAAAGTGAACTCAAATTTGTTCTCGACCCTGCTTTCTCCACTTAATAAAACAGCAAAGACGCACTCATACACGCACACGTGTGCACAGCCTCCAGCACAAAGAGATCTTTTTAAAAAGCAGGCTCACAGAACTTTTTCATATGGAACCATTACCAGACAACCATTATTTTCATCTGTCTCCTACTGAGTTTAGCTGTCTCAGGGTTCTTGCTTGGTCCACTTTGCGGTTAGAACTGTTACCCTAGCGAGAGTCATTCTGCTTGGAGGGTAATCTAAATTTTGATTCAACTGCATTCTAGAAAGGTTAAGCCAATTCACACTTCTGTCAAGTACATAAAAGTGTCCCTTTCCCCATACCAGACGAGAACAGATCATCACCCAACATTTGGCAACAGAACGTGTAAAATGCGATATTTCACTGCTGTGTGACCTTATGTTTCTTTAACTGTGAGTGAGGCTGAATACCTCTTCTTATGTTAACTTTGATTACTGGACTGTCCTTTTAAATAGGTTTATCAAAATTCTTTAAAAAATTTTTTTTAACGTTTATTCATCTTTCAGAGACAGAGTGAGACAGAGCACGAGCGGGGAAGGGGCAGAGAGAGAGGGAGACACAGAATCCGAAGCAGGATCTGAGCCATCGGCACAGAGCCCGACGCGGGGCTCGAACTCACGAACCGCGAGATCAGCGACTGAGCCACCCAGGCGCCCCTCAAAATTCTTTTTAAATTAAAGATATTAACCGTTTTTCATGCAAGTATCTCCCCAGTTTGTCCAATTTATCTGTTGAGTTTTGTCTCTTTCTCTTTTGTCACAGAGAAGTTTTAAATTGTCATACTTTTTGTATCTGTTAACCATCTAAATTTTGCAGGGTGGTGGTGGTAAGAGGTGTGTAGGGAATGAGGTGAAACAAACCGTAATAACTTCCCCCAAACAATTGTTTGTCATCAGACCATGTAACAACAGTTCCTTTTCCCCACTGCCGCAGAATGTTAATCTTACCATACGCTGAAGTCCCAGTTGTATTTGGGTCCATTTACTCTATTCTGCTGATCTGTTTCTTCCCTAATTCACAATGGACTCAATTGCTATAACTATTGTATTATGCAGAATACATTTTAATATCTGGCAGGGCTGGAGGCCTCATTTTTTTTCTTTTACTCAGAAATCTCCTTGCTATTCTCAAATGTCTGTTTCTATATACTTCAATTGGCATCAAGTTTTCACAAGATTGAATCTTTTGGTCCCAGCAGACTTTTAAAAATACTCTTGATATAGATTATCCATATTGTTTTGATCAATTACTACCTAAAGGTTTTATAGTTTGGCTTCTTCAGTAAATGAGACTTTTTCTTCAATAATATCTTCAAATGGCTGTTCTTTCTTGTGAAAGGAAACAAATAATTTTAGATGACTCTTGTAACCTTACCAAGTTTTCCTATTTGTTTCCAATTACTTACCTCGTGGTTTTTGGATATATAACCCTATAACCTTCAAGTAATGATACACTCGCGTCTTCCAGGTTACTTGACCTCCTATTTCTTCCTCTTGCGTAGCTGCATTGGCCAGCACCCCCAGATCGACGAGAAGTGTCAGAGGGGGTAACAGGCTTCGTGACACTGCTGTGAGTGCCTCTGGTCCCTCACCGCTGAGCACGACGCCCGGTGTCTACGACTCAAGCACACTGGCTAGGTGAACCTGTCCCCACCCAGGAGACCTCGGGAATCCAGGCTCCTCCCCGGCTGCGTCCAGCTGGTGGACGCGCGCTCCTCCCTCTTGTCTGTACTCTTACCGCACGTCTTATTCTGGGGACACCCTGCCTCACTGGGGGCACGCTCTGCTCCAGTGTGGGGACTCCCGCCTCGTGCACCATCCTGGAGCCCCTCGCTTCTATCAGAGGGTCAGCTTGGATGGGTCCCCCTTTCAATTTTTCTCCTCCCAGCTCCCCAGACATTAAAAAAAAAAAAAAAAAAAATTCCTGTTTAAGGTGGTTCGGTAGCCTAACGGACTGCGTGGGTCAGAACCCGGGTCCTGGACCTAGAGGCTGTCTTCTCAGATGACACCGCCTTATTGATTTGCTCATTGGTTTAGCGGCTACGTATCGCTGGAGAGAACTGGCTCGGGCGCGTAGGAGTCTGTCTTCCTGCTCACACTCTGCTGCCATCGAGAGTCGGAGTGAAGACCTCCAAGCATCGTCTTTGAGGAGAATACGGAGATCGCTGGCAGAAGCTGCTACTTCCAGGGCGTTTTCTGATGCTTTCGCCCACACGTTGTACCTCCCCCCTCACTCTCTGCAATATTATGCAAGATTCTATTTACTCGGTTCCCCTCGTTTAATGCTTCTGCAGAAGGCCGACTTACAAACGGTGGGGGCTGCTTCAGGGCAAGTCTTGGAAATCCCGGCCTTGTTCTTCTGCTGAATGCTAGCTCTATTCTTTAACATCACTTGGATATTTTTGTCTTGCCTAGTTTAGTTCCCTGAAGCTATTTGTTGTTCATATGATTAGAATTTTGGTTTTGTTACACCGGCCTAAACTGTAGTCCTCTGTATTTATTTGAGCCAGTAACTTCAAGGGCTGAAGGAAATGCTGAGAGCGAGTCCTCTAAATTATGGCCCCTGGCATTTGCTAAAGAAATACATAGACTTTCAGGACGGTTGCCTTTACCTGCTGCTTGAGTGCCTCCAAAGACTCAAATTCCAATCGGGCCAGTTTCATCTGGATATGCCGTGGTTTATCAGGTATGGCAAACGCAAGTACAAACTTTAAAGCCAGGAGTGCATGCTGAAAACAAGAAAGGGTACATGTTGATATGGCACATTAGACCACGTGTGCAATGAAACAAAACAGTAGCTAAGCAATCTGTGATTCTCCTCGTTAACCTTGGGTAATTTCTAATTACTGGCCCGCGATGTATCCGAGATCAACCAGGCCCAAGAGTTATACTTAACCCACTCCCTTGTGGCCCACTCATTAACCAGTGTCTTCCTTTGCTTTATTCTTTTAAAATTAGTTATTCCCTTAAATTGATACCATATGATACTTTCAGTGCTTTAAAGGAAAGTGAAATTCATTCTGAAAAGTCTTTCACAAAAATTTTTCTACCTGTGTCTAATTTCCGAATGTATCTTGGCATACGGCATCGGCAGACTCATTCTATTCTTTGCCTGATAGCGTCCTCCCTGTGCTATGCTTCTGGCTGAGTTATGTGAAATGCACAGGCATCTTAAACACCTTGAATCCTCTGCATCGCCAAAGGTGCCCGGTGGCAGTTTCCTTCATGAAATGATAATAAATACTGATAACTGATTGACTGTAATGTAGTGCCTTATGCTGCTGACTCCTTATACTGTAGGGCAGGTATACAGAATGTCTCCGTTATAACATGGGAAGCTTAGAACCCTTCTACACCAGTATCATAAAAAGGTTCTCTATACTAATACAAGGTTTGTAATTATGCTTCTTTCTCTGCAGAAAAGAATAAGCCAGCAGGATTACTTCCTTTGGTGAGCCTGCTCTTCAAATGCACAGCCTCAACCTACTGATACGTCTCCAACTCCAGTATCACCTTGTGATCCAGCATCAACACCCACAGGAGTCTCGACGATCAAAAGAATAAAGTTGCCTCTTTGATGACAGCATGAATTACTAAATATTAAAAGCTGTGAAATGAGTTTTAAAGGTAAGAAATAATTAAAAGGCATTTCGGAAATCAGTGAAGGAAGTGGAACAGGCTCTAAGAGGTGTTGCATTGAATTATTGACCGAAAAAGACGACGGCTGAAAGACATTAGATGAATTCTTTTCAAAAGGAGGGTGAAAGACGAACACCGTGTGGCTGTCTCCTGGGAGCAGCACGAACTAATGAAGGAAATCGGCCTCATGCCGTAACAAGCAGTGACTCGGTCCTGAAAATGGGCGCGGCCTCAGCGCAGGCCAGGCGCTCCCGGTACAAACGAGAGACCCGGGGTGGGCCGGGCCGGGCCAGGCAGCCTTCACCGCAGCGTGACTGCCGTGACCAGAGAAGACACTTGGAAGGTACCGATTAAGTATCTACAGGGTGAAAACAGGTAGATAACGGCACGGATCAGATGCCATCATCTGTCGTAATTCCGAACTAATTGGGTTAAATTGACAGGAGCCTGGATAAAATCGACAAAGAATAAATAAAGAATTCAAAAAGGTATATACTGTGTCATTATTTCATTCCACTGGAGTCCTGACATATAATTTTGCATAGACTTAACCTCTTTAGCAGAAACACTAGACAAGGAGTAAACAAGTGAGCAGATGACAAGAAACCTTCCACGTTTTCCAGACATGGCGGTCCTCAACTGCCAGAGCCAGCCACTGGCCTCTTTCCAAGCCCCTAACAAGTCTGTACCCACTTTCCCTTCTGTGGAGCCTCAGAGGGAGGTGGTGAGAAGAGGAGCCTGCCGAGGTCTCCCCTCGGATGCAAGGTGCCTGGAAGATGTGTCAGCTCAAGCGGGACTGGTTACCAGGCCACCGAGCAAGGCTGCCACAGACCCCGGTGCTCACAGCGGCCGTATGAACTGTCCATAGCCCTCATGAGTCACAATTATTGGTATTTATTAGACAACAGTAGTTAAAATAGGAAGTCATTTTAACACGGTTAAAACATTTACGTAGCAATAAGCTTTCATGAGCTCTGTAGCTCCTTTTCCTAAAATTACTTTATGATAAATGTTTCTAAAGGCTCTTATGCAGAGAACTCAGTTTCTTCCGAACTATATCTGCAAAACAGGTTCCTCGTAGACCTGCTCGTTCGAAGCTTTTGCCTTCCCGCGGAACACCGCCAGGGTCATGCTCCTTGGAGAGCTGCACGCAAACCGCGCAACTGAACCCCCTTTAGCCGGGCACCAGCACCTTGAAAGCCAGAAGGGAAGGCACTGTGCCCATCCTCTCACGTTTCTTAGTGACCAGGGTGGTCGACGCGGGTCTAGGAGACGATGCCCTGGTGCACAGGCTGGAGGGGAAGACGAGGCATCCTGGGCCATCCTGATGTCACGTGTAGGGGCTGCACACACCGGCAGTTGCCCCAGTTTCTAGCAGATCGGAGAGGGCTTCCCGAAGGAAGTAGGTTGGAGCAGAGACACACAGGAGGAGGGGCCGGCTGGGAAAGGGGGAGGAGCTAACCCAGAGAGGGAACAAGGGCACTCAGGGACGGTGGGGCTGGGGGACAGGGGAAAACCGAGGCACCGGGAGCTGAGTGAGGAGTGAGGAGGCATCGAGGCACCAACCACTCACGGCACGGAGAGCGGACAAGTGCAGAGGCCACAGAGAGGCGGGCAGGTCGGCAGGGTGAGCTGGTGTGTGTGACAGCAACGGGCTGGGGCCTCCAGGAACGAGTGGAGGGCTTACCAGCGGAGGACCGGACAGGCTTCCGCGGCCTTACGATGCGCGCAGGATGAGGGGCAGGCCGGAGGGAGCTACGGGGAGCAGAGGTCCACGTGGGCTTTTAGGTGTCCACAGGACATCTGAGCAGAGAGGCTCAGCAGGCAGTGGGGTAGAGGGGTCTCACGTTCCCGACAGGGCTGGAGGCAAACAGTGGGAGTGGCTGGGGTACGTGCATAAACGGCACAGAGTCATGGGAACGGGGGGGGGGGGATCTGCAGGGACACACGGCGAGGGAGAAGAGATGAGACGAGGCAAGAAGACGGCACAGGGTGGACCTGAAGGAACGAGACGTGTGTGATGAGCAAAAGAGCGAGGCCTGGCAACTGGCTTCAGAAGCAGCAGGTGGTGGCAGGCTGAAATCCAGCAGGTTCTGGAGTTACAGAAGCGAAGGGGAGAGAAGGAAGCCAGTCAAGGTGGGCACAGGAAGGTCAGCCACATGGAGGGGGGGGGGGGGGGGGACCTGTGGCTTTAACACCAGCCGGCCTTTGGCGACTCTGGTGGGAGTGGTTTCGGCTGAGTGGGGGCCACAGAAGCAAGACCAAGGTGGACTGAGAAGGGCCTGGAAAGCAAGGCTGGAGAGAGGAGGGCCATCCACAGAGTTCAGTTCAGGAAGTCTGGAAGGAGGGAGAGTAAGACAGAAGGTGGGAGCCGGACGGAGGGAGACCTGGGCTAGCCCGGCGTTTGGGTTTCAAACGTGCAAGTTTAAACGGTTTTAAATGTGTTAAAGGGTCAAACCTAAGTTCAGTGGTTTTAAACGTGGAAGTGCAAAATGCTTTGGCAGAAGGAACCGAGAGAACGGTAAGAAGACCCTTGGAAGAAAAGTCTCAGCACAGACCAGGCTGCCGTGCGAGGCAGGGGCTTAGCCACACGCGGGAGGGTCTGACGCTGTCGGGCTGAGGAGGGAGAGTGGCCTCGGGGGAAAAAAGGCATTGGGGGCACTCATTTTAGAGAAGAGAAGTATTCTAAAAGAAACTTACTGTTCAGAATATGCAGCTCATACTTAAAATGAGGAAGGACAGGTGAGAATCCCACACAGTGTTCTCCTTTTTCTTTTACAGACCTAACCTTAAAGCGTCACTAAGTGTCTTTTCCTTAAGAAAGATCGTCCAAGACAGAAAAAAAAGTGTCTTAAAGAGCAAGACACAAACGCCAATTTTATTAATTAGATCAGAAGAAAATCTATCAACGTCTTGACAATGACGACGGTTTTCTTTGGATGGTTGGCGATGTGGGCAATCTCTTTATCTTTAGTCTCTACCAAACATGCATTATTTTGTTTTCCTTTCCCACATTTTATTTTTTGAGTTTGTTCCACTTCACACAGTGTTCATATTAGTTTCAGTGTACAATTTAGTGATTCAACGCGTCCATACGTCACCTGGTGCTCATCACAAGTGCCCTCCTTAACCCCCCATCACCTATTTCCCCCGCCCCCCACTCCCCTCCCCTCTGGTAACCGTCAGCCTGTTCCCTAGAGTTAAAAGTCTATTTCTTGGTTTGCCTCTCTCTCTCCACCCCCATGCTTGTTTTGTTTCTTAAATTTCACATATGAGTGAAGTCATATGTGATTTGTCTTTCTCTGAATGACTTATTTCACTTGGCATAATACTCTCTGGCTCCATCCATATCATTGCAAATGGCAAGATTTCATTCTTTTTTATGCCCGAATAATATTCCATTGTATATGTAGACCACCTCTTCTTTATGCATTCATCTACTGATGGATACTTGGGGCGCTTCCATATCTTGGCTATTGTTGATAATGCTGCTATAAACATCGGGGTGCATGTCATGTATCACTCGTATAAGGGAAAAAACACTTCTGTGAAAAGAACTCGAGGATCCCTCATGCTGGGGAAGGTCACTGAGAAGACATGACCACTACTGGACCCCCAAGCTAGACCTAGGTGGCGAGGTTGCTCCCTCCCTTCCTTGTCCTTGGAATGTGGGAATGAGGTTTGCCTTTCCCGCTCCCAGAAGTTGCTCCAAGGACATCGCCTTGAGACGGTGATGGGGTGTTGAGAACACCTTGCACAGATTAGTTGACTAAACCCAGTTAAGGTCTCTGTTTATAAAAGTTTATGAAAACTTTTAAGATGTGGCGGGCAGATGCGGGGATCCACTCATCTTGCTGCCACCCAAGACAAGCCTTGTATGTAAGTTCCCTTTGCTTATTAAACCTGCCACCTTCCAACCAGGAGTGGCCTGCCTCTCTCCTCTGTCTCTCCCTGCCGTTTGCAGTCAGGGGCCAGTTTCAGATTACACCCGGAAAGCTCCCGAGAGGGTTGCACAGCAACACTCACTTGAACAAATTACATATGCTCTGCCAGGCTCCTAACCCCACCTCGTTATAACTGCCCATATGCC